ACGGAGATTTTTTTTTTTGAAGTGGACGATAATAATTTTATTCGTGTAACGTTTATATTGAATGACACTTGATCTGCCTAATAAGTACCAATAAAAAAATTATTCGTCTTTTTGATCTTTAAATGTTACACAAATAATGAGAATTTCCTTTGTGTGGTGGTGGTGACACGACATTTCTTTCATTTTGATGACGGACACGAATGAAATAACAAAACCAAATCATATTCTTATTATTATGTGATATGAAAACCACAAAAAAGATTTTTATTTTATTTAAAAAATAATGATTAAATTAGTTGTTACAAAAAAAAAAAATCAACATTATCATCGTCGATTATTTTAAGCTTAATTCAATTATTAATTCCATGTTTTTAGATAATACCTAATAAATAATATTAGTAATATTAATTAGTATGATAATAAGAAAAACCTCTTGATACATCAATGTCAACATTAGTAATAATATTATTAATAATGGCTTACCTTTTCAAGTTCTATTTCTAGAGATTTGATTTTTCTTTCGGCTGTATGTTTCTCCTCTATCAATTGATCTTTATTATGAACTGCATCTAAATATTCCATTTGAATCTGTGCTAATTTTTCATTTAATCTATCATATTCACCTTTTGTTAATTCTAATTGCCTTTTATTTTCTTCGAAATTACCATTGTCATTACTCGATGATGTATTTCTTTGTTTTTTCTCCATTAATTCTAATTTTTTCTGCATCTCTGTAGTAATATTTTTTATTTCATCTTCATGTTGTTTTCGTAATGAATTTAATGCTTTCTGATGATCTTTTTTTAATGTATCAAATTTGGCTTCACAGTCCATTACAGTTTTTTCGAGTGTTTGAATAAGATTATATTGTTCATCATCTTTCTCGGAAATTTTTTTATTTGAAGTTTCAAGTTGTTGTTGAAGCACTTCTAACTCTTGTTTATATGTATATATATTTTTATACAATGACTCATTGTTTGGTATAATGATATCTTGTTCATCCAACATTTTACCTTGTAATTCTCTTTGTCTCTCTAGATTTTTTATTCGTGATTCTGATTTAATAAATTCAGACCTAAGATTTTTATACTGATTTTCCCATTCAACCTTCATAAATTTAAGAACGTCAGCTACTTTATCATGAGCTCCTTGAGCTTCCACAAGATCACCCTTCAATGCAAGTTTTTCTTCTTCTAAGGTTTGTACTACTTTTATTAATTCTTCTTTTTCATCAATTAATTGTGATTTTTCCCCGTTCAAGTCTTTAATATCTCCTTCCAATAATTGTCTTTCAACTTCAATCCTTTCCAATTCCTTTGTAAGTTCAAATAATTCTGATGCAATTTTTGTATTTTTTGCTTGAAACTCTTCATTTTTAGTTTTTAATTCATTACAAGATGACTCAAGTTCATCTAAATCTTTGTTTCTCTTCCTCAATGATTCAATTTCTTCACGCAATGCTTGAATGATATTTTCGTAATCAACTTTAAATCTTATTTGTAAGTTTTTAATTTCTTTTTCTCTTTTGAATTCAAATTCAAATTTTAATTCTTTTATCTTTTCATCTTTGGCGATCAATTTACTTTCTAGATTTTCATTTAGATGTTCAAGCTCATTAATTTTATTATTTAAACCTTCAAATTTGATTACTATTTGATCTTTTTCAAAATTTATTTGGTCAAATTCAAATTTGAGTTGATCGAATTCTGTTTCTATTTTTTCCTTATCATTAAGTTGATCTTTTAATTTTTGGTTTTCCTCGCGTAATTCATTTAATAATGCTAGTGAAGATAAAGTTGATTCAGAATTAAATTTTTCCTTTATTTTCAATATTTCATTTTCATGTTCTTGCTTTAATAAATTTTTTTCATCTTTAAAATCATCTTTGATAGATATGATTTCTTTTTCTAATTGATTTTTTAATTTGATTAATTTTTCAACTTCAAAATCAATTGATTCTTTTTCATTGTAATAATTCCCCAACAATTCCTTTTTTTCAATTTCAAATCTTTCCTTTAATTCTACTTTTATGCGTTCTTCTTTTTTTTTAAATTGTTCGGAAAGTTCATTTTTCACTTTTTCCAATTCATTAAAATGTTTGTCTGCTAATTCTTGTTTTATTGATTCTATATCATGATAGTTTTCATTACTAGCGTTGATGTTATCTTTTAAAAGTTTATCATAAAACATAAAATTATGAGTTGTATTAATACTAGTTGAGGCACTATTTGGAGAGTTAACTTCAGAAAAAAAATCAGAATGTTCTCTTGAAGACCTTGTGCTTGAAGTGATATCGTCTAGCGAAAAGGTAGAAGAATACGATTTTTTGTATTGTAATAAATCAGCTTCGAGTTGACTTATTCTAGTAACTAATGGTTTAGTAACAGCCTGTATTTCTTCTTCTTTTTTTATTATAACACTATCTAATTCGAATTCCAGATCTACTTCACGTTTAATGTTTTCAGCCATCTCTTTACCAACAGTTTCTAATTCATTCTCTAAAGCAGAAATTTTTGTAGCTAACAAAACCATTGCAGCAGATGCAGTGCTAGGAGTTGGAGGTGCTTGTATTACTGTAGCTGCTTTCACCAGATCTTTTGAATTTATCTTATTAATATCAGTAGTACCCAATAACTTTTTTAATTCGTTTTCTGAAGAAGAATCTAAAGATACCGCTTTACTATGATCCTTTACTATACTAGTAGGTCTAGCCTTACTATTTATGGGAGTGATGGTAATGGAGTTGATTTTTTTGAAATTATTGGATTTGTTACTACTACTACTATTTCTTTCTCTACTATTACTAGAGGTGTTATTTTTTATGTTGGAGATGTCAATGTCAGAGTTGGTGTCAGTATTTGTGGAAGGAGTTGATATTGGTTTTGTGGGTTTTGTAATGTCTGAGTCATTGTTAGTAGTAGCAATAACGGTGGTTGTGGTGGTGGTTGTGGCGGTTGTGGTGGCGGTAGCTTTTGCATTAACTTGAGATTTATTAACATTATTACTCTTACCAGCAGAGGAATCAATATTAACCTTATTATTAGTTGTGGGAATAACGTTATTGTAAGGAGTAGTGTTAATGTTAAGTTTGTTAGGAACATTTTTATTGAATTTGTTGGTTCTGGAAAAACTATACGTTTTATTTGCGACATTACTAGGTTCTTTAGGCTTTTCGAATAACCTTACTCTATTTTTTACGCTAGACATTTGTATAGTCTTTTTTCAATATTTAAAATATAATATAAAATTTTCTCAGAAAAAATTATAATTTAGATCAAGTTCTCTTACCCTCCTTCCTATATACGCTGTTGATTTAATTTTCTTTCTATTTATTATTACCATGCACGTTAACCTTTTTAGATATAGATTTGTACAACCCAAATTTATGTAGAAAGAAAGCTATTGATTGGTGATAATGATGATGATATAATAGTAAGAGGATTGAATACCCGGACGGATATTAATTTACACGTATAAAAAAAAAAAAATAAAACGTATAATAATAATTTATTTTATTTGACGAAAAAACATGTCAGAGTGAAATCTGTAGATCCTATTGTTATTATACACCACTTGGAAGAAAATTGATTATTTAGTAAAACTTTGCATATCAAAAAAAAAAAAAATTTTTTTTTTAGATCAGTTTATAGCCTAGGTTCCTTGCGATTATACATATAAATTTCTCTGTCAAAAAAATTGAAGAAAATCATGATTTTGATTGCATTTCAAAAATTTTTTTATATAGATACTATACCGTGTTTTTACGCGTCGTAAACTTCAACGATATCGCGTCTGAGCAAGAACTATTTATGAGAAATGTAAGCAACAACATGCGCGGGTAAAAAATACGAGTCAGTGTGAAAACTATTCAGATAAACTACATTTGTAAAAATTTCAATTTAATGAACCTTTGAAATAAATATCCATTACATTGTACCACCTGCACCAAATTTTTCTCAAGATTTCTTTTACTATTGGTCAGTTTCTTTTGAAGTATATCTTTATTGATACTAGTTACTTTAACAGTTACACATTAGTTTTACAAATTAATTTATTATTAAAAAATAAATAAAGTATGTATGAATGTATGAATGGTATTGTATGTATGGATGGATGCATGAATGCATGAATGTAAAAATGTAAGTATAAATAAATAATTTAAAGAAAATAAATTATTCAATCAATTATCAAATTGCACCCTTTTTTCACATATTTATCTGCCAATATGCCTAAATCCCTTATAACAAGTCTGCATATTACATTTTGAAAAAATTTGGAAATTTTGTAAAGTCTTATAACAATTTGTGTGTGATGATGGCGATAGGGCGGTTTCATTGATGAAAAATGCAGAATAAAATTTTCTAATATTTTATAAAAAATAATTTTTTTTAAAAATAATAATAATTTAAAATAATTTAATAATAATGAACCTTCTTACTTACCCACTATACGAACTTTTTGAAATAATCTCAACAAAACACCTGCATAACTATTACCATCTTCCATAGCATTACTCACATTCATTCGATCAAGGCCACGTGATAATTTATTAATGAATGAACTGGAATTTTGCCAACTTTTTCCATTTGTAGACTCTATATAATTCAACTTTTTTGCTAACGAATTTTGTAATCCCTCAAATATAGGGTCAATACTTTCTAATTCCTAACATTTTATAAATTTAATAATTAACTAATTATTACTATTTATATATCTATTATTTATATTATATTTACCTTCATCAATGTCTCATTATCGTCAATTGAAACCCTTTCCAATCTAAGTATACAATTCAAAACGACATCACAACTTGATATTTTAGTTTCTAGTGCATTTAGTTTGGAATGTCCTTGCAACCATAAATTAGGCGGGATATATAATTTTTTAGTCAGATATCCTCCTGTTGTTATGGTTTGCTCTAATAATCGTATTAACCAGAATGGCTTTAAATGTATGTCGTTTGGTGGAGATTCTAATAACCCAAATTCATTAATATTTTGGGATTTAACATCTTTATAAAATAATGGGTTGTGTATTGGATTTGTAAAACAAGATGAATAGCCGATATCATTGCTTTTTGATAAAGGCGAAGTTTCATTATTAAGAACTCCAACAGTATGTGATGGTAATGATGGTGGCGGACTGCTTAATGATGGTGATGATAAACTATAAATATTATTCATCCATATAGTTGAAGGATTTGTTGGTATCTGAGTGTGACTTTGTGATGCCAATAATTGTGAACGATCATTAAGATAGCTAGTACTATCATTTTTATAGGGGGGCTTTCCAGGATTTGATGCTGACCTTCTTGGATAATTGTTGTCATTGATTTGTAATGACATAGCTGAAATATCTTGGTTTTTCGGTAAACGAGCAAGTGTATTGCGATAATTAGATTTATTTTGTTGCTCTTGATAGTGTTGTTGTTGTTGTTGTTTAACTAATGAAAATGAACTAGGAAAACTGTTTTCATGTGATTTGTCGTCATTTTTCGACTTTACAATAGAAGGTAAAGTTGAAATATTTGGGGGCAGAGGTTTTCTTATAGAAATATTATCAGAAATTGATTTCATGTGAAACCCGGTTGTAAATCTTTCGGATGGCGGTGAAGTTGAAAGAGAATTAAGAGAATTGGAAGCATAGTGCGTGTTTGAACTTTTTGAAGCAAATGGAGGAACCATTTTTGGTGGAGGTGGAGGTTTAAAAATACGAGCTGGTGTGGTAGTCGATAAATTTTTTCCTGCTATGTTTTGTTTCACTATTATATTATTACTATTATTATTATTACTATTATTATTATTACTATTATTATTATTATAGACATCATTGCCATAATTGTTGTTATTTTTCATTATATCCTCTATATCTGTTTTTGTTTTATCGGTAACAATTGATATTGACGATGATGCTGAATCAAGTTTCTGAAAATGTTCTGTAAGATCACTTGTATAAACATTGCTAGGGTCTGTTTCTCCATAACCAGAACCTATGTCAGAAGAAGAATAATGACTTGAATTTGAATCATCAATGTCACATGAATTCACAAGAGACTTTGTTGTGTATGTTCCATTTCCATAAATTAAAACAGGTGCAGTTATATCTGACCTAGTTGATTTATATGAATTAATTGTTGATATTGAATTATTTGATTTATGAGACATAACTGAATATGGAGCTGTTGATAAATTTTTATTTTCAAATTTTAATGTTTCTTTTTTAACATCATTAACACTATTATTATTATTAACGCCATCGTCGTCGCCATTGTTGTCTGGATTATCATTATTATTTGTAGTATAGTTACTTTGTGATAATTGTATTATTTGATTGTTTTCATTGTTTTCATTGTTTTCATTCAAATTTTTACACTTCATAACGAAATCTTGTTTAACTGAATCTGCCAAATTTTGATTATTTGAAGCAATTATTGATAATGAATCATCATTATTGTTATTATCATTAATTTGATGAGTCCCTGCATAAGTGGTAATAGATAATAATCGTACCCGTTCAGCATATGTGTCAAGCTATAGAGTATATATTTTATAATTAATAAATAATAAAAGATTAGAATTAATTATCAAAAAGAATTTTTTTTAATAATATATGATGGATGCTAAACGTAAGATATATATTGAAGGTAGTGAAAAGTTAATATCATCCGTCCAAATATTGTCGAATGATTGATTTTTGAAGAATATTTTTTAGAAATAAATAACTAACTAATACCTTTCCATTAATATATATTCTATTTAATATAACTATGTGTGAATAATAAATAGTGTATAAATTAATTAATCAAAATATCAAAAACTCACAATAAGCTGTATTCTTGGGTGATCAGGCTGATAGACAGATCTATTCATAGCTTGAGTAAGTAAATCTACCGTTTCTTTATAAGCTTGAAGTGCAGCCACAAGATTATTAGAAGATTCCAAATCCACTGCCAATTGAGCCTTTTGAAGAGCAATGGCCAATGTGGATGATCTCGAATGACCTCGAGGTAATAATGGCCTTCTATGTATCATATTAGATGTTGAATTTAATTATTTGTGTGTTTTCTACGCTTTACCTTTCATAATAAGTATCGCAGATCACCGCAATAGTAAATAAATAATTTACACCTTTTGTGTAAGTAAATAATGATTTGCATTAATAATAAATAATAATAAATAATTTAAAAAGCCAAAACTCAATTGCCAAGTTTAGATAACATAATAATAATAATAAATGCTTCTCATGTTTCGAAACATATAGATATATAAATTTTTGTAATGAGATTAATTTTAGGTCTTTACGGGTTTTCACAAATATAATACCTTAAATAAAATAACTAAAAGTTCTTTAAATTACCAGATCATCTAACATTTCTGGCCACCAAAAAAATCATTCCTGGCTCATAAAAAGCATATCAATAGAAAGCTTAGGTTCTGTCTAATATAATACCAAAGCAATTCGAGCAATGGAGAGGTTATTAGGATTTTATATGAGAAGTGTATGTTTTTCAAACATTCGAATAAATCAAATTTTTATTTATTTCAGCCACTACCAAAAAAAAAAAAAAAGTACAATTACAACATAACCAAATACACTTTGGGAAAGTATTTTATTGTACTAAATCGTGTAAAGGAGCCAGCATACTTTATTAAGTCTACTGGGAAAGAAAGAAAGGAAGGTATGATATGAGTATTATTATGCTTCGCCATAGTGGTGTGTTATTTATTAGTCAATGGCGGGGTGTTGAAAATATTCCCTGTTTAATGATGTAAATATAAAAGGTAATAGTACAAAATTAAACACAAGCTTTCAAATTCTATAACAGGTAATTATATTATGAGCATTTTAATTAGAGATTACAGGTTGTAAAATAAATATTGTGATGATTTTTACATCTTAGTAGGACCAACTACATAGTGATAGACAGGTTACCCCAGAACTTTTAAAAAAATTCAATGATAAAAATCCTAGCAAAATCACTAGAATTATAACGATTGAAATTTAAATTAGGCAATGAAGTGACATTGGCAACTCCAATATCATTAACTACAACTAGGTTTCCAAGCAGGTTAGATTTTGTATTCATATTATTTATTTTATATATATGTTGATGTTCTTCTACATGTTGAAACAGAAAACCTGCCTTTCGTAAAAGATGAGAGAAAGTCTATCAATTCTATCTTTGTTGCAAACGGTGTAATTAAACGTAATTTTTATCTTGTCAATGATGATCGTTTATCTATAATGTATAATTGTTATTGAGAGCTTGAATTTTTAATATTTTCTATCCCGGTAAAGGTGCATTGGATCACATAATAAATAATAATAATAATATAATACATGAAGTTTATATCAGAATATTTGTCTTTGTTAGTAAAATAGTCATTATTAGATCGTTTGCCGTAGAAGGCAATAGACATGCTTTTAAAATTATATAGGCGTATTAATATGTATTTAAATTTTTTAATAGAACAAAGTTTCATTTTCTGCAAAAGTGTTTTCATAATCTACTAAAAATCTACAAAAACCTATTAATTTGTTCAAAGTAAGCCTTTACATAAATTTAAAGAAATTTATACCAAAAAGCTTACAAATTAATTTATAATTATAATATATTTCATGATACCATTTAATAATTTTATTAATTTTAATAACAAGATTCCTGATGAATGAGAATGAATGACAAGTTGATAACTCAAACATTTCATCAGTATTATAAGATTATTTTTTGATAGATTCGTAAAGCAGTTAAAAATAAACGTAATACATTATTTTTATTTTATCAAAGAAAAGATCTGCATAAAATTAGCCAATCATTTTTGTTTTGTTTTTTTTCTAGATTGTCTATCTTTACAATATTTGGAAATTCCATATTTGGTAATAATCCTGACTGAAGTAGCTATGAGGTGATTTTGCTATAAGAGACAGATCTAAAGCATTAGTCATCAAACAACAAATCATATAATAAAATCGTTATAATAAAAAAATATCGTTAATTGGCAAAGCTATTACATCTTTATATAGTAATAATAGCAAGCCACACCATACTATGTAGTTTTTTTGGCTAATAGTTAAAAACAACCCAATGTATTGTAAAGTGTGCATAACCACAAATAAACAAATTTACCAACTGCTAGAAGTGCGAGGTATAAAAAAGAAGTATTAACTAGACACGAAACAACAAAGATCACATAGACGCCTCCAGGCCAGAAGACCCGAAGCCAAAAAAAATGATAATATATTTTTACCAGTAGCCAGGGTTGGCAAATTGACAGTTCCATTGAGAACTGATGGACTTTGGACGGATCATCGGTAACATGGCCAAGTTCGCCACCATCTGGATCATCGGTGGTAACATGGCCAAGTCCGCCACCATCTGGATCATCGGTGGTAACATGGCCAACTCCGCCATCGGGATCATCAGCAACATGGCTAGTGCCAGGAGAAATATTGTTAGCTGTATTGTTTATTTCAATTCAACATTGGTATCAGGAATAAGAAACATAAACAAAATTGATATATACATTGATGAGAACAACAGTAGTGACACGGTCAAAAATAAGCACCAAAAATACAAGTTAGAGATAAAGTTATCTAACAAGAGAGTTTCTTAAAATTATTGGAGCCATTATTAGGTTTGATTGGCATGTTATTAACGCAATTAATATCAAAAAAAAAAAAACTTTAACATGAAATGGTGGAGGTCGTCTTTAAAAGTTATTGATTGAGAAAAAGAAAAAGTTAAAAATTGAAATTTTTTTTTGTAAAGATATTTACTATTTTTGTAGATTTATTTTTATTTTTTTATTATTCATTTTTTTTGTTAAAAAAATAAAAAATAATTTTCCTGTTATTGTTGTAGTGATTTTAGTGATTTTAATTACTCCGTTAATTATGATTTCTTTCAACAAGGAATCTGTCCATTTATCAACGAAAAACTTATTTCTTGCATCTTGAATCAGTTGCGTAAAAGTATTTGTGTTAACCAAGAGAACATGTAACAGGAGAAAAAAGCACAAATCTTATTGTGTCACGAAGTTATTTAATTTTGAGAATGTGTCATTATCATTTAAATTTATACATCGTCATCAATTTAAATATACGCCTAAATTATGAAATTGACTCATATAATTGGTTATTCAATAACAATTAATCTAATCTTCACCAAAATTCAATTGATTGAAATAAAACCCTTTGTAGTATTACTTCCTTAATCTATATATTATGTTTATACATGATTGTCTTTTAAATCTTTTGCAACTGATTTGAATTCAAATTTAAAATTTTGCAATTCTACCAATCTTAAGATAAGTTGACGATCTTAGATTTATTCGAAAGCTAAAGTTCCATAATTAATAAATCATATATTGTTGTTATGTAGACTTTAAAGATCGTTGGCAATTAACAACTCACATTAAAATTCCTTGATTTGATTAATTAACAAAATGCTGAACCAATCGAAATAAAAATACCATTTTATTAGAACGACCTTCTGCTCTGATTTATGCTTGTATGTGTTTGTTAAATTATTGTTATATATTCTTGTACTTCAGATTTGATACATATAACAAAAAAAAAACAATATAATTATTTATTGATTTGTAAATACAATGTATCTGTTTATTGATGTGGTGAGTCCTTTTAACCCATTAACTTATCGTCATTACCTTTAGCTTTAAATATTTCCATCCATAAGGCTGATTTTATGGTGGTGGTAATAGTTGATCCAAAACTCACTATCCTAGTTGAATTAAAAAGATATTTATTAAAGAATTATACATTTGGAAAGTGGATCATAGAAGTTGTCCTTGTCTCCACTGTTCACGTCTCATTTGATGTCAAATAGTGGTTTCTTGTTTATGTTTATTGAAATTAAAAAGTTCAAAATAAATTTGCTGTGGCATTATTAAGGATTGAAGTAGAAGGCATAACTTTAAACGAGTAATTCTTTTCCGTTAAACCATAGCTAGAATTTTGCAAGGGTCTCAAAGAATGTGTGTACAAAATATCACGTTTCTGATTAAAAAATTCATATTAATATAAAAATTGACATGTTGCGCAAAATTCAGTCTGATTAATAATACAATCAAATCATGTGTATATCACCTGATTTTAATAGTTGGTGGAGGAGATATTGATTCTATTTTATTGTCGAATTTAAATAATACAAACATTTTTTCTTTATATTAGCTTACAAATTATGTAATACGTGTAACATAAAATCCAGGTATTATGAGGATTTTCCGAGAAGTGTTAACAAAAGACAAAATATTGATGTAATATTATTATCTAACTACCATATTTTAGATATTTCGGCTTTTTAAAACTTATTATTATTCATCTAAATAAATCGATAAGTCATGATCGGATGCGAGCTAAAGAATTCATTTGTTCAATGATAGAAATCCAGGTCCGGGATATTAAAACTTGAGAGATCACGGAATCCCAAATTGTCCATTGTTTTTCTTAAAAAAATATATATATATTTAATAAATTATTTTTTAATAATGATCATTTCAATTATTATCTAGTGCGTATTATATATAAGACTTTTTGATTTACATTATATTTGCCAATTTGCATTGGAATGGAAAAACAATTTTCCTAAATAGTAAAGTATATATGTGTGTGTATTGTAAAAGGTTGCATGAATAAAAGGTGATTACTTTTGCTTTTGAAAATTCTTCCATTCATCCACGTTAGGTAAAGATCTAGCGTATTGACCTTCTGTCAGCCATTGGATATACCAGCTATTATATTTATTTTTTTCCTGATCTGGTATCAGGTTTGCCACTGAAACAATATACTTTGGACTCCTTCAATTCCTAAATATAAGTAATTGTCTATAGAAATTGTTTATTAACAAAATTATTATTTCTTTGAAAATAAATTTTTTTATTAGATGATCAGGCCGAGAAATCAAAAGTCGATAATATAATGGTTCGACCAAGCCAAATAATATCGTGAGCCATTTTAAAATATTCGTTAATACAATTTTAAATGGCATTTTTGAAAAAGGATGGAGGCGGAACAAAATTTTCTAAAAAATAATTACCGTTTTACAAGGGGTTTTTTCATGCTATACAAAGTTTGTATCACTTGTTATTCTGCGGCATGCAAAATTGAATTAATAATATATGTTAATAATTCGAGTTGAACTTTACATACTTTAGGTAATTCATTGAATTAACTTCTGCTTTACATTGTTGATAAATCCATCGTGTAACTAACTTAATGTTATTATAAATCATACCAAAGACATATTAATATAGTAATAGTGGATGCATTACTACGGGTGGTTTGTGGCACAATATTATATAGAATGCATTGTTAGCGGCCTGTAATTTGAATGTATTTATATATTAATATTTTAATATTGAATCCGCATTTTAGAAAATCGAATAAGGACCGTTCTTTTTTTTTTGTCATGATAAATCATAAATCTTATATCAAAATCCCATTCATTATGTTCCATTTTAGGATTATATACCATTGTATGTATTATTATTATTTACCAAGTAATAATTATTTTTTATTATTCCCCCCGAAGATCTTTTTTTTTTAAAATTTCCTGAAATAAATAAATTTTTGTGCACCAATTTATTAATTTTACTACGCCTATGCGCCTAATGAGGAATATGACTAATCTTGACATTATAAAAAAAAGTTTGATAATAATAAATTTTCAATTTCCCATTCTCTAAAAATTTTTTTTTAATTTAATTAAAACATGAATTCAACCAACCATACAGATTTAAATTCCACATCTGTTGAAGAAATACCTCAACAAACTCCTAATACCTCCTCAAATTCAAATTCTGAACAAAATCCTCCTCACAACAACAACAACAACAACAACAACAACAACAATAGACCAAGAACTAATAATTTCAATCGAAATAATTATCGACGAGGTAAAGGTAGAAATTCAAACTACATTGAACAAGATTTTGAAAATGCCGAAAATTCCCAAAGAAGGAATCGATCTTTTCAGAACAACAATAATCGATCCTTTCCACGCAACAGACATAAATCAAGAAATAATTATTCAAACCAACAACCACAACAAAATCTTGTCAATAATAATGATAATAACGAAACTAATAATAGGTCTTCAAGTCAAGAAAATACCACAGAATCAACCGTTACTACAATTCAGGATACTAATTTCCTAGCTGAAAATATATCAATTACAAACGCTAATGATGCAATCGTTGAAAATAATAATAATCTTCAACAGGAAATAGCGGGAAATTCAAATGACAATATTAGTAAAGATGATAATAATAATAATAATTCGGAAGGTGCAAATAACAAAATAAAAAATCAATCTACGAGTACAGCTTCAAATGATAATCAAACATTAAATAATAACACCTCAAGAAAATCTAGAAATAATAATAATTATAATCGTAATCATTATAACAACTATCAAAATTATAATCATCACCCATCATCAACATCATCACCCTCAAATCAAATGGCTCGAAATAATTTTTATAAAAACAATAGAAAAATTACACACACTTCATCATCGTCTTCATCAAATGATCAAGCAAATAATCATTCAGGATCAAATTCTTCATCACAAACACAAAATCGTCATTATGGAAATCATTCACCAGGAAATAAAAACAAAAAAACTACCCATAATAATAAATCCACTAATAAAATCTCTACCGGTGATTCTTCACTACATAATGATAGCATTCCCGCTTCAAATGAAGAAAAATTGGATGATAACACACGACAAATCACCATTATAGAACCACCAATAGTTCTTGATGATAATAATAATATCGATCCAAAAGGCAAAAAACCTATAAGATATAACATCGAGGCTTCGTCAAAATTGCCATCGTCATCATCATCATCATCATCATCATCATCATCAAGAAGATCTGATAAAAAAAATAATATTCAAAATTCTAATAAAAAGAAAGATTCAAAATTCAAACCTTCACCAGAAGAAAATAATGACGATGTATTGACTTCTATCACAAACGGGCTTAGCACATCGAAATACGAGTGTATGATTTGTTGCGAAAGTATCAAATATTACGACAAGACATGGTTTTGTAGAGTTTGCTGGGCTGTTTTCCACATTAATTGCATACAAAAATGGGCCGGAAAGTCAATAACAGAAAAAAAGGATCTTGAAATGGCATATTGGAGATGTCCAGGCTGTCAAAATCAATTAAATACAATTCCTGATAAATATTTATGCTTCTGTGGTAAAATGGAAAATCCTCCGAATAAACGTTGTTTCACACCACATAGTTGCGGCCAAAAGTGCGGGCGAAAGCGCGAAAAAGTAGAATGTCCTCATACTTGTACAAGTCTCTGTCATCCTGGTCCATGTCCTACTTGTCCAGCTATGGGTCCTGTTCAATATTGTTATTGTGGTCGTGAGAAATATCAATTCCGTTGTTCCGATCCTAATTATTCCAGTGTCAAATCTTGTGGGAAGACATGCGGTCGATTGCTTGATTGCGGTAAACATTATTGTGAAAGACCTTGTCACGAAGGTGACTGTCGATGTGAGATTATTGAAAAGCAAAAATGTTATTGTGGTCAAAGTGTACGTGAGGCTAAATGTGAGGAAGGAAATGCAACGACTTGTTACGAAAAATCAAATTCAAAGGATGATTCTTGGATTGGATACTTTTCTTGTGAAAAAATATGCAATAAACTTTACGATTGCGAGTTTCATTCATGTACTAAAAAATGTCATCCAATCGGAGAGGTGGAGCCTTGTCCTTTCAATCCATCACGTTTAAAGTCTTGCCCTTGTGGATCACGAACAATAAAGGAATTACTTGGTCGTGAAAGAACTTCTTGCAAAGATGAAATTCCTTTGTGTACGCAAATCTGTGGAAAGCTATTAGAATGTGGTCATGAATGTCAAAGTACTTGCCATCATGGAGACTGCAAGTGTGACGTTCACATACTTGTAAAATGTCGTTGCGGCAGCACTGAATTTGATAGGATTTGTTCAGAAGTGTCTGGTAAAAATGATATTCAAGAATTACTATGCGATAAAATGTGTCAAGGTCTGAAAAGTTGTGGTAAACATCAGTGTAATGTAAAATGTTGTCCTGCAGCTTCAAAACAAAATCTAAAAGGCAAAACACCCGAAAGTTTTCAAGATGAATATGACCACGAAGAAATTCATAAATGTAAATTTATATGTGGCAAAAAATTAAGATGTGGTAACCATAATTGTGAGCTTAATTGCCACAAGGGTCACTGCATGCAATGCTTAGAAGCTTCTTTTGAAGAGTTAACTTGTTCTTGTGGAAATACAAAACTTTATCCACCCATACCATGCGGTAAGAAATTACCAGCATGTCAACATCAATGTAATCGTACACAATCATGTGGTCATAATTCCGTCCCACATTTATGCCACGAAGATGGGAATTGCCCACCTTGTCCGTTTCTTGTTAGCAAATTATGTTCATGTGGCAAAAGGGTTGTTAATAATGTTCCATGTCATCAAAGAAATGTCAGCTGTGGTAAAGCATGTGATCTAATACTTGAATGCGGAGGTCATCGTTGTAAAAGAATCTGTCATCAAGATAATTGTTTATCTAATGGTGTAACTCCTGGAAAATGTTCTCAGCCATGTGGTAAACCTCGAAAATCATGTGGTCATAAATGTGATGCAACCTGTCATGCTCCCGCAAGATGTCCTGATGACATTCCCTGCAAAGCCAAAATTACAATTAAATGTAAATGTGGCAACTTGTCTCATGAAACAACATGTAATACAACCACCGAAAATGCCGAAGAAATGAAAAATCGACGTTTGAATTGTAATGATCATTGTGCTGTAGTTGAAAGGAATAGAAAATTAGCAAGTGCTTTAGAATTAGACGATCGTGTCGGAGACGGGTATGTGTTTTATTCATCATTATTACTTCTATAAGTGATGCATCAATCAATATATTTATTTATTTATTTATTTATACTAATTGTTGGTTATTTATTTTTTAAAAAAAATTATTTATTATAGAAACGCTCCAAAATTGGTTCCAGAATATGAGGAGGATTTATTGAGTTATTATTCTTCAAACAAAGAATGGGCAAAAAATATAGAATCTATGTTAAACAATTTCATATTAAAATCTGAGTAAGTATTAATTACTGTTGTAGTTATTATATCGTTAAAATCTTGCGATACAAAATTTAAAATTTTTTTATTTTTTATTTCAGAAAAAAATTATTAAATATGCCAGCGATGAAAAAACTTCATCGAAAATTTATACATAACTTGTGCGTTCATTATCGATTAGCATCTGACAGTATGGATGTTGAACCATATAGAAGTGTTGTTGTGACGAAAAAAATCGATTCATTAGTGTAAGTACTATAATCAATTAATTTAAATTTGCAAATTTAGGAACAATTTTTAATTCTTTTATTCTTTAATATTAGTCCATCTGTCCTTCTTTCACAAGCTTATACAAATAATTATAAATCTACCAATCAAAGCCAAGCTGTCTCTTCCCCATCATCATCAACAGCTCAACAGCCTGTAAGAAAAAACAAACAAGCAATTAATGCAATATATCTTAGTGAACTAGAATTTGGGATTACTCATGAAAAGCTTTGCAAGGATTTAGAACCATTGCTTAAAAAAACTAAGTTTCAATTGAAATGGGTCACAGAAAAAAATGATGCCATAATTTTACCATCTGCTGGATCCATGCATGCTGATGAATTCGAGACTTTTTTGGCCAAAATAAAGCTTTTAATCAAAGATACCCTAATTACGAAAGGAATAGCTGAATCGGCCGAATTATGTTGGGTTAACTCTAAATATGAAATAACTTGGCAGGAAAATAAAAAGTCAACCGTTTCCGGCGTTGGTAATAAACCTTCTAATGTAATAGAAGTTGATTTACAAAATCAATCAACAATTCCTCCTTTTATCTATACGAACCCTTTTGACACACTTGCCAAGCAACCTTTTGATGGAAATGTTAAAAGTGGCGAAACCTCAAAAGCCAAGAATCCCTCCGATACATATAATAGCAAGCAGCAAATTTCTGATCAAAAAGATAATGAATCAAAATCGATTATTTTAAATAATGATGATATTGTAGATAATTGGGAGTTATTAAGTGATAATTAGGATTATTATTAGTAGTTGTGTGTGTAATAGTAGTAATAACAATTCTAGATAATACAAAATGATAAAATAGTAACAATAATAATAATATTGGAATGGTTTGTTTAACTGTTATTTATTATCTTTGCAATTTAATTCAATAGAAAATTAATTTTAATAAATAAATAATTTAATATTAATAATTTAATTTAAAAAGAAGAACGTGTCAAGTACACCCAACATATTATTTTGATGGTTGATACAACATCATACTTGTATTATAGACGTATATCCACTATAATCCAGTGTTGGGAATTTCCAGTTAATCACTGGAACAGCTTGGAAACACTGGAATTGCTGGAACCAATAAAAATTTGTGTGAATTTTATTTTCATTATTAAATATATATCTAATAATGAAATAACTATGGGTAATGACTGTCACTATAGAATCCTTTTTCTTGGGTGGGACTTATGACAAAGCTCGAACAATTTTTTTTTACTTTCTGCAATAATTTTTTGTGCACATGATGAGATCATATGACTTTGTAGGTCTTTTCTCAAAGCTCCATAATTGTAATGCAAAAAAACAAAGAAAAAAGAAAAAATTTTCTTTATTTCACCTTCATTTTTTTAAAAATGAGTAGTGGACACCACAGATGGAAACCCTTTGCATATTTTTTTGCGAATATGTTGTAACAAAAAGAGATACAATGGTTAATAAAAGTAATTGTTTAGCTATCTGCAAAGCCTAAATACAAATAGAAGGATGGAAATGGTCTTTATCTAATGCCACACAATTAAAATTTTCTAATACTGTTCCATATATTGGTAAACGCCTAATAATGAAGTTGGTGAAGATGATGAAAGTGATAAAAGTGAAGATGGTGAAGATGACATTGATGATATATATAACGAATCAAATTCTTCCATCAGTTCATCATCAAACAATGGAATTGAAAGTTATTGGTTTGAAGCGCTGGGTGATGAAAGTGGTTTGGATGATGATTAAAAATTTATTAAAACATAGGGTACATCCAGCTGATAATAAAAAGGCAAAAATGGAAATATTTAAATCTGGATTGAAACTTCCGAATGAATTCGTTCATATCATTATTTTCAGAAAAACAATCATAAATGTAATATTTAGGAAAATTTTTATAAATAAAGTAAAGTTAGTTTGTTCATTAACAAATAAATCAAAATTTATTGGTTCCATTGGTTCCATTGGAACACTGGGGTTGGGAACTGAAATTTTGTTCCAGTTAAAAGACACTTGCAATACATGACTGGGATGGTAGCTACCATTGCTGTTGGTAGCTACCATATGCCGTAAATAGATGAGATTGCCGCAAATAGTTTTCAAGTATCCCGTTCATCTGCTGCGTAAAATTATTTACCCTATTTAGATTCACTGTAATTTTGTGATTATTATTTTGTAAAATGAGTGAAATTTTCAACTCATTTAATGAATTACTCACCAAGCTAAATGGATCAAATGAATTGATTAATTCAAACAAATTACTCAACACATTAAAAATAATAGAAAATTGTATCAATTGCAAAGAAAATATACAAAAGAATTATTTTGATTCATTTTATAAATCATTAAATGAACTAAAAAAAAACTCAGAAGAATTAATAAAGGAAGATAGGAAAGCAGAAATAATCCATAAATTAAGTGATAAATTAAACAAATTAGATTATGAAATAAATATATTATTATGTGATGGGTGTCAAAAGAAGAATATATTCAATCCCTTATATGAATTACTCTCAAACAAAGTACTTGACACATTAAAAATAATAGAAGATTGTACCAGTTGTTTACAAAGATATAATTATTATTATTTATTTTATGAATCATTAAATGAACTAAAAATGATTTCAGAAGAATTAGACAAGGAAGAAAATGAAGATAGGAAAGCAGAAATAACCCATAAATTAAATGATAAATTAAATAAATTAGATGTTAAAATAAATAGATTAAGATTATGTGATGGGTGTCAAAAGAAGAATATATTCAACCCATTATGTGAATTACTCACCAAATTAAATGAATCAAATGAATCAATTATTTCAAACAAATTACTTGACACATTAAAAATAATAGAAGATTGTACCAGTTGT